CTTTACTGACGGCCTGGGGTCGATTGGTGCAGACTGATCCTCTCCGCCTACGTGTCCCATGTTCTCTCATTTATGATTGTTTTCTCAAACATATCAACGATCGAGCACTCGCTCTTTTGGTCCGATGATCATCGCTTGTGCCCTGGCGACTGTCTCGCGATCGGCTAGGTCAGACAGTGTCTGATGCAATCGGCCAGATCTGAGAAGTAATGTCTCGCATGCCAGGCACCAGGCCCATGCGATGGCGATGAAGACTTTCGGCTTGCATGCCGCCCAGTACTATGCTTTGCGTCAAATAGCCGCGCGAGTGTACCTTCTGATAGGCCCACACGCGGCTTGTTCCCCCTTGTGCAGGAGTCTGCTGCCATCCGCGCTTCGCTGGCTTTTTCAAGACAGTCAGAGTGATCGATTGTCTCAATGGACGTTGGGAGCCTCCCGTCGTGAGACATCCCGGGGCGCGAGCAAAGGCAAAGACAGCGCCCTTGGATCGGGAGTGTGTTCAACTGATTGAAATGATCGGCTCCGGGGATGCGAAACGAGGTGTTAGTCGTGTGACGCGTCGCGAGACTTGATACACCGCGTCAAACGCTGACGATGCAAGCGTTGGCTGGCTCATAGTAGCAGGCGGATGCCTCGTGAATCGATGCCTGCAGCACCAAAATGGGCCAGCGGTCTGTTGACACAATGGATGCATGAATCTGTACCCGCAGGCGGTGAGCCTGACTGATTGTGAGGAATATAACCCTGGTGTAGTCGAATGTCAGTACTGCTGAGATTAGAATGATACCTGGAGAAAGGTCATATGCCTTATCCAAAATTGAAAGCCACAGCTGGGGTTGTGGCGGCGCCATCGCCCAGGCCAAATGTGGTCTCATTCGCAATTTACCCCTCCACCATATCAAAAAGAAGGCAGGCTGAGACATTGGACCGATCAAGAACAATCAATTTGCGTCCCGACTGCTCTAAATTCCACACAGCCAGTTATTTCTTACTAGGAAATGAGAAAACTTCTTTGAGGCGTGTTCTCTCACGAGCCACGACTGGCAAAAGAAACATCAAACTTGAAGCAAACGAGAAAAAGGCCATACAAGTCGGGACCGATCCCTCGCATCGTCCCGAACCGTGATGCGTGTGCAGTTTAGGTATCTATAACAATACTCGGTTTCAAGCTTTTAGTATGATTAGATTTGCTCTGAGCATCATCTAGCCAGGTATTATTTATACCGATTGCCTCTTCTTCATTGCCGTGCCGCTGGACTCGCCCTGACGAATAATCTCTCCCCGCGTGCTTGGAAGGGCCTGGCTTGCGAATGTCGTCCCGTGCGACCTACAAATCATTGAAGCCACCCGCGCGCACCAATGGGGTGCGATACCCCCTGCCCCCGGGGAACACGGAACAGGCGTTTCCCCCTTGATGGCCAGGCCCCTGAGGCGCTGATCATGGCGACAGCCGGCCAACTGATTGGCGAGCCAAGCTTCGAATCCATCGTGGGGGATTTCACCCGACTCAGGGCAGCGTCTCAACCCTGCTGCGCTCGAATCAGTGCTACGCACCACGATTGCTGAACTAATAACCGTTGCAAGCATTCAATCTGTCGGCGTCGCCGCCTGACTCGACCCTATGTACACGAGAAAGCGCGACGGCGTAAGGAGGTGTCGCGGCTGAAAAAGCTCCTCTCATTTCTCAGGCTGGTTGTCGAATAATTCATAGCTTGACTGGGTCGTTCGACTGAAGGTATCGTGGGATATATATCATTGCTTTTCGACCAACGCCACGCCTCCTCGTGGCCGTCGGTTTCAGCCAATGCTGCGCCGATATGATCAGGACTGGGAACGCAACACTACACTCATCTGAAACACACGTAATGAGTAGCATTCGTGTTGATTTCTACGCGGGGCGGCAGTCGGTGCAGCACCATACGTACGTACAAATGTCATGATCGGTCATCAGCAGGAGCACGGGTCTGGCAGTACAAATGCATGCGCAACGACGTAATCAGTTGTTGGTCGCCCAACGACACAAACCAATGTAGCAATCAATATCATGAACGCAGGTGAAGCAATTCGAATTGCAATGCAATGATATCATGCTGCGTTGATCAACCCACCATGTCGCTACCCTCCGCGTTAACGTCCGCCCACGTCGTTACCAGCCCAGCATGAAACGATCATAAGCACGCACGCTTGAACTTGTGCCAGTCGACCGCAATTCTCTGCGAGCGGGCGACAGCCCGTACAGGCTACAGCCGATTTTTGGGCGACCGCAATCACCGATAAGGCTTCACGATGAAACCTCCAACACGCCCCTCTTCCTGTCAGGTCGATCTGACGAGGTGGGATTTGGCGAGGACCGCCAAACTCACAATTTGAATGTCGACACTCGTACCTTGTTGACAGTGGCTTGACACCGTGCTCACCGCACCGGACAGCTTCCGCGGACCCGACATTTGGGTTGACGGGCGCTGAGTGCCGCATCGTGACGAGGGTCGCCGGCAAGTCGAAATTGGCAGTGGAGTTTCTAGGTCCTACGCTGTAACACCACTCCATACCACAGGTGTATCGGGCCTCAGAATCCCGTCGGAACGGACATGGCCGGAGCCAGCCTTGATAAGCCTCATTTCTTGATCCGCGAGGTTGGCAATCATTGTAATGAAGGCCAAAGGCATTCAGCTAGGTAATTATTTTAAACTGCGAGCGGAGCCGTAGGCCATTGCCTCCTGATGCCAGCATCCGCAAAAGGGGCCGATGAGCATTGCCGCCTAGAGCCTCCTGGACCTAGTGGCCGAAGGAAGTCGTCAAATGGTACTCGGGAGGAATGTGCTCAATAGTCATGTGTGTATGCAGCGATGTGTTGGCATCGCGCCAATACGCGCAGCGACGGCCTGGTGACCATCATGTCCCCCAGGCCAGGACTGGACCCTGAGCACCAGCCGACCCAAGGGAAACCACTGGGGGATAGTGACGACAGAGGTATGGAGCCCTGCAGTAAGGCGCAGTGTAGTCAGCTTCACCACGAGGACATGGACGTGTTCGTGTATTCAATCGGTTCCCTACATAACCACGTCGAGACCAGTTCTGAGGCGTGTGTCGCAGGTCACACTACGCTAGCAACAGCACGCAATAGGGCCAAACTCACTGCAGCCGCCCTCGCGTCGACGCCAGCATGTCAAAGAAGAAAAAAAAGGGGGCCACATGCCCTCCTGCTTTCATGAGACTTGCGTGAATAAGGGCCTGCGTCAAAGCGAGTACATACCTTATTACAATTGTAAATGCCCTGCAGCATTGGTTGCCTCGCGCAGAAGCCCCGTGATCACAGCCGCATTAGAAACCCACCGTTGAACACAGGCGCCGGCATTCCAAGCTACCTTATTACCGGCCAAACCAACGACTCACAAGCCACAAGCGTACGGATGCTTGTACCCTAGACTTTCGTTGGTTGTGGGATAGATTGGCACGCGATGGTCATAGGTTGTAAATGGCTCTCTCCCCTCATTGAACGGTGGCAAAACTGCCCATTCAGCAAAGCCGCTCGCTTCGGGCAGGCATGACCCGAGACGCTGAGATCGCTTACATAAATGAAAAGAAACGGACTACGTATTCAGGTGAGCAAATCTAGGCTCGGGAGACATCACGTCCTCACTCACGCCGTGTTCACATTGGCGCTCTGGACACTGGGAACAACGACATGAAGAAGCCGAGGCGTCTGTTTTCTCTCCATCGGCACGAGTAATTCTCGTCGGGTTGAGGAAGCATCCGACCCGACGATTGGGTGACGGAAAACGGCATTTGGTGAATTACGCACTGGCCCGTTTGAGGCTGGCTGACCTAAAGCGGTCGATGAACTGGGCGACCAAAACACATTGTGGTTCCGGGTCCGTGGTCCGGCTCCAGGTCCATCGTCCCAGACAGTCACATGAGTCGGGAGGTTCAAGGTCAAACAGGGAGAAGAGGTGCGTGACGAAGCTGCGGTTTTGGGATTAGCGCAGAAACTGAGGGCTAGTCCAAAGTAAGTATATTATGGATAATTGAGGTCTGCGCTTACCTCTTCGGGTCAGCACAAACCTACTGTGATCACAGCGACTATGTGCGACAGCGTACCGGGCCTGCTTCCCTGGTGCCCCGGAGGCGGTACTTGGTGCTGGCGGCGCTAATGGCGCAGCAAGGCAAGTACTCCCGGGTGTCAGGTGGACACTTCAAGTCCCAAAGGCGCTGCAGGAGGACTGGAAGTTCAGCCACCCCCTCCGTCTTGCCAGGTGTATCCGCACGAGTAAGTGCAAGGATCGCTGGCAACCGCCGCAATGACCCCGACAGGTATTTTGGAACTAAGAGCCACCCCACCTCACGCCCACGCCGGGCCACGCCCCCCAAGATTCTGGCCCACACCTATGCACCCACCATCCGCCCTCCCTCTGAATCTGCCAGTCCATGTCGTCTGATGAGATACATTTACGCTGGAGCTCACCGCGATTCTTTCACCCCATCCCGTTTCTCTTCACTCCTCCTCGTCCAAGTCCATATTAGACTCCATTTCCCCAGAATCTTGGTTAAGTCTCTCTCTTGAACCTGATCTCAAAGTGCACTTGCATTGCAGCATATGCACAACTTCAACCTGACTTGAAGCACTCGACTCCACGCCACGATCGATACGATATCACCTCGCTCACCCTCACCTCATCTACCGACGACGACCTGCACAGCATCTGGTCATCGTTTGATACGTGCTAGCATTCAGCACCCTCCTTTCCCCGGCAGTATCACCTCCGCGCTTCCTGGAGTCGCCTCGACTTGCATCTTCCCCCTGCAAGTCAACCTCTTCCATCAACGTCTTCACGAAAGAAAACCGACTTTTATCAACCAAACCGGCTTCTGACCTGCTCGATCAAACTCTGAGCAACCCCAGCCAGTCGGGAATGCCATACCAATTAGATACACACGTGCTGACAGTCGACGCAAACGTGCTCCACAAGGTTGATACTGCGAATCCAGCAAACCTTTATAGCATGTGGACTGTCTTCTCTCGCTGCGCCGAATCTCTACCCCAGGGCCGGAGACTCGAGAACCTTAGCTGGCGCCTCTGGCAAAAGGAACAGCTTTTGGAGAAAGAGCGAGAAGAAACTCTGGCCGCCGCAAACGCAAACACCAGCACAACCACTCCCACCTCTTCAGTCCCTCAGGCGATTCCCCAGGACGCTCGCCTCAACGACCTCCCTCAACTTTCGGGTAGTGTCGAATCGATTGCCGACGAAGAAGCCGTCGAGTTCACGTCGGTGTCTGCACCAATCGATCTCGCCCGCCCCGCCATCAAGCGCGAGGACTCGTCCACCAGCCACCGCAGCAGGCGTGATCGTCGCACAAGCTCCGACGATTTCGAAAAGATGATCATCTCCATCGTCAAGGACGAGACCCCTCTGTCGGCACCATCGCAACATTCGTGCGAGATCAAGTCGGCGCTCCCGGCTAACCAGATGATACAGCGATCGGGTTCGACCACTACCGAGTCCCAATCGCCGTCCAAGAGTTCGGATCTCCACTCTGAAGAGTCCCACCCCTCACCCGACATGCAGCCACGCACCATCGTTCGCGGTTTCTCCCCCTCCCAACAACCAATCCCTCGATCATCGCCCCGAGCATCTTCCATCCGTCAGCACAACCTCAATTCCGCTGCCAACGTGCCCACCTCGACACCGGCAGCCAACATGTTGACTGGTGCTGGCAAGCCCAAGGCCGCTTTCGCACTTGGTGGGGCGTCGTATTCCTCCAGCGAAGCGGGACAGAGCGTCGAGTCCCGGCAACCCGCGCCAGCCACCGTTGCCTTCAAGAAGAGCGCCGCTTTCAAGCTTGGTGGATCATCCGAGGATGATGACTCTGGTTCACTCAGAAGCGCTTTGGCCAGGCAGAAGCGCAACCCGAGCCTCGCATCACACAAGAAGCAGGCGTCCTTCAGCAACCACGTTACGACTCTGGGGCCCGCCTACAACGACCAATACGATAATGCCATCGCCGACAGCGACGACTCCGAGGGCGAGTACGACGAAGAGGATTCGGAAGCCGACTGGGAAGACTCAGTTGAGGACAGCGGCAAGTCCAGCGTCGACGACATCTCCTTCCAACGCGTCGACTCCAAGATTCATCTTCCCTCGACCCGTTCCCTCCTTGCTTTGAAGCTAGCCGAGCAAGATACCCGTGCAGCTAAGATTGGCGGCTACGGTTCCCAGTCCACCTCGGCCCTGCACCAAGGACGGCGCGAGTCGAGTCTGTCAAGGTCGCCGAACGACTCCGACGACGCTCCCTTGACCATGCGCAGTGGGCGGCAGCAGCTGCAATCCATCAAGGAGGTCCCTCGCTCGGGCATTGCCACGGGCTTGGCCCAGGGCGTTGACAACCCCACCACGATCAAGCGCAACATGTTGTCGCGCGAGCTGCCCGACCACCTTCGCCGCGATATTGTCCACGCTCGAAGGCAGCTCAACTCGACCGCCGAGGCTGCTCAGAACTTCCGCGAGAATATCAACAATACGTCTCTCAAACGCCACCACACCTCGCACGACCTCCCCAATCTCAAGGCCTATCCCGATGTGTCTTCAGCCAGCAACCTGAAGTTTACTGACGATTTCGCACCCCGCGAGCTCGGCTACAACGAGCGTGGTTGGTGAACCTACCCCCCCGAGGTGCAAGCCTCTATGACGGGTCGATGGCTCAGCCATTCAGCCTTTTACGACTTTTTTCTTTTTTCTCTACAAGCACGGCGTTGGTCTGGACTTTTTGGTGCCCAGCGAAAGCATTACAAGGGAGCAGTTGGAGACGAGCGCATCTCCTTAATTACATATGGCACTCACGATGTCAAGACACACTCGAGCATGGGTTGGCGTTTTCGATTTTCACGATACCACTTTGTTCTTCTTCTAGTATCTTTTTCTTCTCCGGGGGCGACCCCGATGTGTGACTGGAATGAAGCTTGGTTTCTGCGTGTGTATGGAGGGGGCAAGGAAGAAGCCAAAAGCGGGGATGTTAAGGAATGACTTTTTTTTCTTTCTTACAAACACGGGCAACCGCGGACGGGCAAAAGAAGTTCGGCAAGGAAAATAAAACGGCATATTGGGATGAGGCCATTCGTAGATTTTGATTCTGCACGAAAACACATAGAAAAGAGGCATTTGCCTCGGTAAACAGTCACCAAAATACAAGAAAATACTTCTGAACCTTACTCGCAAAGTGATCGATCGAACCTGTGCATGCTCACGAGTGATGACTCTGCGCCTGCATAGCTTCATGGCCTTACTCATGGGCGAGAGGTTTGCGTGCGGGAGCTTGCGCTCCAATAACAACACCCTGCGGACAGTTCCCGAGACCGGAAGACAGACTTGATTGACGATAGGTTATCGGCTAGTTTGGCGGCTCCAGTCCCGCTAAAGCTCTCTTTCCCCTCCGTATCCGCCCTAGGCAGAAAGGGCCGACATGGCGAGCTCGAGGCTCCAGTCGTTGCGATTTTCATCCACCCTGCTCTCGGGGTGGTGATGCCCATTTCCACAAAGTGGCCGAGCACAATGCATCTGGAACGTCGGCAGTCAGTTCGATAGTACTGTAATCCTGTGCGCCCTGGGGCTGTGGCGCTGTGGATTATTTTCCCCAGCGTTGAGGCCTTTTGATCAGTAAACGTGACTGGACTGGGTCGCGAGAAAGTGTCCTCTTCCGGAGCGAGGGGTCTGACGGGCAAAGCGGCGGCTGGGTCCGGCGCGGCGGTGAGCAGAGTGTGATAAGATTCTACTGTTGTAAATCCTAGTCTAGGAACACATATGGATTGCATTGGTCGACGTCGCTGACGCATGATGCATGCTGTGCGCGATGTTTTTGCTGCGTCCTGAAGCTGCTGTCACCAGAACGTACGTGGGAAGAATAGCCGTGAAAATGCGCCAATGAGGAGGCCTCGCTTGCATTTGTTGTTGATGCCGTTGACCGTTGATAGGCGTACGCTACTATACCTACTGCACCCTGATTGCAGATGCGCGTGGGTCTGCTGCCGTACCATGAAGCTCTTGCAAAGGCATCATGACTACATGTAATTTACCCACACAATATCTCCATCTCCAAGTAGTATGTACATCATCCTGGGGAGGATTTCCTGCGGTAGATCATATGTCGGCAAGGGTCTGAGCTGCACTATGAGCGAAACCTGTCATCACATCGAGATGCCTCTTTTGAATTCACTGTCTGCGAAGAACCCATGCGTCGACTCTCCCAATACCCGAGGCGATAGATCATGCTGTTGCCCTCACCGCTTGCGTGCTTTTTTTGCGCATATCCGTCTGACATGGCTGAAATGTTCACGCAAGGTTCACCCTAGAATCACTGGCGGTCAGCATGCATGTGCGCCTGCATGCACGCGTACAACGTATAATTAGTAAGGCTGTCCGTACTCAGCTGAAGGGAAGGGGGGATTGCTGCAGATTCGTATCTTAAGAGACCGATCGGTCGCGTATCGAGTTCCAGCGAGGCAAGGCACGTTTAGGCAGTAGAATCCAGATATCATGCCGACGGGTACGATATGCTTCCCTCCCTAGGGTTCTGTGTTGGTGGGTGGGAGGGCATGGAGCGTGATAGGCGAGGAAGACTTGAGTGTTACACGCTGCCCCCTTTGGCGTACTGCAAACAGAGTCTGACTCGTGTGTGTTTGGGGACGCGCCGGCAGTTTTGGCAGGCTTGGTGTTTCTCAGATGTTTATCTTCAAAGTGTGGCCGTGTTGGATGGCGGTTTCACGTCATGTGGTGAGATGGAGGGAGGTTAGATTCGCGTGTAAGCAGAGATCTCCATGCTACTGCCCAGGGCCTGTATATCGGCCTGCCGATACGTGTACCTTACGCGCCATAGTGTCAACGACATTGTGATATATCGGCCAACTGCCGATCTGCGAACCTGGCTTTCGTGCGCTTCTTTGACAGCCGTCCTAGCTAAGGCTATTATTGAATGTGTCGTAGATAAATTCAATCAATGTCATTCAGGGCGAACAGCCGGCCCGAGGAAAACAGAGTTTGGGCTTAAACCTCAGGTCACAATAGACGCCCCAGTGGTGTCATTCCAGGAGCCATCGCAGATGTGGGGTGCAGTTTGTCGTGAACCTCTCCCGCCTGGGCTGTTCATCAGTGCGGATGTGGACTGGCTATGGGGAGGAGCCTGGAACAAAACCTGGGGGAAACCGGAACCGGGGCGGGCTAGTAATCCACCGGTTACGTCAATGGCAGGCAGCAGCCAAAAAGGTGGCCAGCATATCCGCTCGTCCGTCATCATCATCATCGCGGGGACGAAACAGTGGAATATCCAGCTGGTCGAACCGGGTCTTCTCAAATGACAGTTTGAGATTCTGAAAAACAAGAGGCTCGTAAGCACTCCACTGGCGGGAGGACCTGAGGCGGCAGCAGGAGTCGCGCGCATCCGGTGTCAATTAGCGCTCCGCTGGCGGAAGCAGGTGCGCCTGGTACGTCAACCCGCGGGATCGCACTCGTAGGAGGGCGTTGGGATGGAGATCCCGCCGTGTAAACCGCCGGCTGATTTAGGCAGGATGCGCTTGATACTTCCAAAAAGAAGCATGCTAGCGAGTAAATACATCAATCTTGTCGTGCCGAGAGTGACACATTTGCATTGGGCCTTGGCCTGCTTCCCTTGGCAAGTGGTTCTTTGCAGAGCTCGCCATGTCCCTTTACTATACGTACGTATGATTGTCATATGCATTAATTGCGCATACCCAAGCTTGGAACCTTGGCAAGAGCCGGGCACTCAGGAGCGGACAGACAAATGATCGTTGAGGAGTCGAGGACCAACACGTCACCTTGTTTGGGCGATGTCGCGGAGCTCGACGCGGAGAACTTTCTGGGGCAAGGTTGGCTTGCAAGCTAGCAAGCAAGCAGACCAGGCTGCTGACACGGGAAACGGAAAGAACCGCTTTGAATAGAAAACATGCACTTGGCGTGATCAACCATTGCTTTGGCGTAACACTAGCCAGGCGTCTGGTGCAATTAACAACAAGGAGAGGGGATGCCAGCCACACCGAGCTTCGTGCTGCGTCTGTTGAAATCTGAGCCGGTGCGGGCGTCACAACCGACAGGGACATGGCAAAAACCTCGCTCGTCGCAGCAGACGCATTACCCGACTCGGATAAGTCGACCATGCTCGCGCTTGTACGTAAACTTAGGCTATCAATGGGTTGCGAACTTCTGGTAGACTCGACTCGAAAGCCGGGGGAATCATGCTAGAGGAAGGCGGGGTGTGGTCGTCAAGTCGAGTGAATGTTGCGTTACATTGGGTTGGGAGCGCGCGTAGTAGTGAACGTTGCAAACGTCGCGACCAAGATCTCGGGACGCTGGGTTGTTGTTGATGGGTTCGCTGCACAGTCGAGTCAGTCGCGGTCTAGCTTTGTCATACAAAGACCAACTGCACGGGCCCTCTGACGGATTGTTCATGTTTTCAACATGAATGCCAAGTGAAGGAACATGATTCATACATCATGTGGCATTGCCAATTTGATGGAGAAGGACCGAGTACTAATTAGCTTCGGGCGCCAACAGCGAGGGAAGCACGAACAGCCATCAGAGAGCAAAAGCTTCCAGAAGGATTCTAGCACACGTGGTCGCCAGGGAGTGGGGCCGAAGATGAGGAAGGGCTGGCTGCCTGCAATCCACCCCCGCCCAACCCTACCCGATCGGGCTAATCCCTGCGGTTACAGCGAACAATGAGTTTTGCAAGCCTTGCGCGAGCAAATCTGCTGCTGCCTGCTGGTCTTTTCATTTGGTTGCGCCGAGTGGAGGAAAGGAAGAGAAACAGGACAAAGAGTGCGCGGACGCAGCCACCTCATGGCCTAAGCAAGGCTCTTGCGCCGAGCCTCTTGTTTGAAAGCTTTGGTCAATTAATTAATTGGCAGTGCCCTTGTTGAGGGATGCTCGCTGGCTGGCCGGCGGGTGATTGCTTCCAATGCAGATGCAGAGCGGACTGCTGTTAAAGGAAAGGGCATGTGACGAATCCATTCCGCGGGAAGGAGGGGGGGTGTCACCGAGTAGTGCCGGATGCAGCAGCGTGATTACCCGACAGCTTCTGCCACTCCCCTAGGCAAAATCTAGTTCGCTCTCTCTGGGAATACCGCTCCAATCGCAAGCGTTGTCCGTTGAATTTATTTATTTATTCATTTACCCAGCGAATCGGGGCCCCGATTCACCAGTGCCCATTGTTTCAAGTAGCTGTGCTCAACTCGACTCCATGTCCTCGCTCGGTCGACGTACCGAGACGACGGCTTGCCAACATGGAGTCCTGACGCGTTGGAGATCGGTGCGCGTGTCGAGGCATCGCGATGCCGACACAATTAACGCGCCTTGATGCGCATCATGTGTGTGTGGCAACAGCAATAACGCGACTTCACAGGGGTTGACAGAGCATCCTCGTGTGGTTTTCGTGTGAATCTAGATGCATCGCGATAATTTAGATATACCAGATGGTGTACGACGCGCATATAGGTGCATGCAAGAAATCAACAAAGGGGTCACCGAGTGATCGTCCTTGCGGCGCGGTGTGCATGAATGTGAAGGCGCATTGATGAATACTACTATAATACCCCTTTCCTTTAGTAGCACCATTCATGAATCAGCATTTGGCGACCAATGGCACGTGCAAT